TCAACAATCTCAGTCTCTGGGAGCCCTTTGAGAAGACCGTGCTCGATCTGCCGTGCTAAACTGGAAAATGGGAGACGGTCTTTCTGTCCTGGTTCCCCAATTTGTCCAGCTATTTTAAATTCTTTGTGCCAAGGAGGAAGGATGTGATCTAGAGATAAACCTGAGGCTGCCATTCTGTGGTTAGGTTTGGTGGCCTGGACCCCCTGTTCACTTTTAACATTTTGTGGTACCTGTACCTGGGGAGATCTGCTTTCAGTTGGTGCATTGTCTTGTGCGTCATCAGGCTGGTTTGGGTTTTTATTTGGTGATGCTTGAGGCTCGCTTTCTTGGTCAGCTGCTGCCCGAGCCTGTAGCTCACTTATTTTGTCTCTAAGGCAGAGGAGCAGCGCCATTCCCAAATCCTCAAGTTTCAGTAACTCTTCGCTTTGCAGATGGTTACTTATCATTAAGATGAGTGATGTTCTGTTCTTTCCTGCCACCTGCTCCAATTCTGGCCCAGCAATGATTAGAAAATCACACAGTTCTTTTAGGCTTTCTACTGGCAGTGTACACAAAAGTCCTATTATTTCCAACTGCAATGTCTCTACTTCAACGGACTCCATTTTTTTTTTTTTTTTGCAGCAACGATCTGGTGTTCAGTAGCAGCCGTAACTTGTGTACTTAACTTTGACAGAAGCGCTCCTGGTACCTTGGGTTTACCTCAGATTGTTCCTGCTTTTAGTTGTAGACACTCGAACTGCCACCGTATTATCCACTTGATGTCGCCTGCCTGGGTAAGTTGAAGGGGACTGAATGAAAGCTTGGGACGTCTGTCTTTGGCAGGAGTCGGACACTGCTTCACTTTATCCCAGCGGTGCCTCCAGAAAATGTTACACCCCTGGAAAAGGGGAATAATGAATAATAAGACACAGGACACGGTGTTTCTTCTATCACGTCCAGTGTAATAATGCATTTCTTTTACGAGAACAATAATTCAACAATAATGTTACACAGTTATCACTAAATGCAAAATCAGCACCAAATAAACACTTTACACTCACTGACAAAATATCAATGCAAAGTAATGCAACTGGTTCCCTTAAATACGTGGGACAGGCTGTATTATCCCTCTTATATAAAAGTTGAACAGACTAATTAACACACATGAATTTAATTATCCTAATGTTTAACACACCTATAACCACATTGATGGTTTAGCGATTAACATCACTCTTCTCAAATACACGAAGTAATATAACATATCCCAGTTATTTCTCATTAAACACATCTTCTCTTTAAGTGCTGAACACTGCACATGAACCGTATAGTTGTATATTCCCGCCATGCGATGTACACCACGTGATGCAGCTAGCTAACTAACTAATAGAGCTAACGTTAAGCAGCACTTACTCAAAGTAATAACAATTATACAGACAAATTTGACTTCTAGCTTTCTTAGGCTACAGGGGACATAAATACAGACATAAAATGCATTAATAAAGAGATTTTACCTGGAAAAGGGGAATAATGAATAATAAGACACAGGACACGGTGTTTCTTCTATCACGTCCAGTGTAATAATGGACGAGCTGACGCAACACGCTTCCCGTGTGATACATCAGGCATAATTAACCGATTCCCGATCACCAGGCGAACTCTTAAACACAAACTTTGAATAGCAACCACGTGAAAACAAGGTGCAAAAATAAATGAACAGAGTAACTTTTAAATAATACCATTTTTGGCATGTTATTGTGCTAATGCATCATCTGATGACTCTTTAACTTGAAGACCAAAATAATCGCTAATAGATCATTCAATCAGGAAATCACAGTGTTATTACTCTTACCAACATTCCATATATGGGCATGAATTATGATGTTTTCTTCACTCTTTTTTAAGTACTTCTCTGAATTAAAGCAAATTGCTTATTTTCCTCTTTTTAACATACAAAATTACATATAATGAACTTTTCTGGCTGTACACATTCTCATAACCATTACAAACACAAAACATCATTTCAACATTACATTCAAATGTTTTCTTTAAAACAGTACCTTATGGCTTTACAAGTTTAAACCAAACTTGTAGGGAATGTTAGCCAAAGTTCTGAGAATGTTCTCAGCTAGGATGCAAAATGTGAAATTGAAAGAATGAATTAAATAAATCATGTTTTTGTGGTCCTAATGTGCCAGAAAATAACTATATTAAAAAAGTCTAAGGTTTCTTTACATCCTTAGCTTTAGTCAATGATCACATTATTATAATTATCAATTATAATTTGTTTTATTTCTATTTTTAAGATGCAATTAAGCAAAAACAAAACAAACATAAAAACTGGTATTTGCCTCATATAGGCTATAGTCTACATTAGCCTATACACAATATACAGACATGTGTTTTATAAACTAAGCCTATCTTCATTAAAAAGGTTAAATATTATTTTTAATGACATTCATGTGTAATGGGGAGAATAATACACTATTTTCCTATGAACCACAGCGTGTTTTACACACAAAAGTTCTGTTAAATTAACAGTAATGTTGTGTTTTGACAGGCGTTTACCCGTGGAAGTTTTGAATCGATCTCCCATGCGTTTTTGTTTGTTTGCATTTTTTATCCACACTAGTTCACTGTCTGTCAATTTTTGTTAGTGTAGACAAAGCTTTCATGCAGGATCTGGGTGCTTGCTGTGAGAAAAAAAATCAATCGATAAACGCATATTGCAAATGAAGTGCATTCAACTCGCTTCAGCGTGTATTAATGAGAGGCGCGCGCACGCGAAGGGGCGTGCGATTTGTCCGCGAGTCGGAATTCGGTACAACACCTGCTGTTTTAATACCGAAAAGACTCGTGTTTTTCTTTTACACTACGCTGAACGGTCGGTTAAGTAAGCGAGTGCCATTGACGGACAGTGACCGGAAGTGTTCCAGCCTACCATAGACAAACCGAAAATTCCATTTCCGTTGTGGTGCAACTAGTCCATGTCAGTTGAGTTTCAGTTGCATGGGGAACTCAGACATCTTTCAGTGCCATAGAGAAACACTGGAAGATCCAAAAATAAAATTACCTATAGGTCAATTGACCTTACGACTGCAATTACTTGACCACGCCCATCCTTTTTAAGGGTGGGTACTAGTCTATGACATCACAAGTTGGCTCGTTCAATTATGTTTTTGTTGGTTGTGGAGTAAGGGCCAATCCCAATTCTACCCCTTACCCCTTCACTTTCCCCTAGCCCTACCCCTTCGCCTTCCCCTTGACCCTTGAAACAGAGTGGCAATGCGTACTGCGTAGGGGTGAAAATATTCCCCTAAGAAATGAGACACCACTACGCCTCCGTTAAACGTCATTATAAGTCGTCGTCACAGGAGATGCGCCGATGTTTATCACAACTTCCAAGATGCCGTCGACGTTCATAGCAGATGTAAGGTAAAAATAAAGTCAAGTCCCTTCAGCAATTACATTCACCAGTTGCCAGACATGAAAATATGTTGCGGGACTATCGTTAGCAAACTACAGTAATTTTAGCGATTTTTTTTTTTAACAAACGTTTCTGTGAAGAAACTGACCGTAAATATGAACACAATATTGAATGTAACATAAAGCAAATCATTATTTGTCGTTACAATACTTATAAGCCACAAATACTACATTTATGGGGTCTCCTTCTTCGCTTGGGCAGCCATTTTGCGTCTGTACCCTGGGTTAGCAGTGACACTTCTCATACCCCTTCGTTTGAAGTGTGCTCCCGAAAAATCTTCATTTGAAGGGCTATCTGGCCCTTCCCCCTAGCCCTCCCCCTCCAACCAAAAAAAAAAGGGACAGCCCTACCCCTTCACGTGGACGCGCAAAACGGAGGGGAAGGGGAAAGTGAAGGGGTAAGGGGTAGAATTGGGATTGGCCCTTAGTATATCGTGCTCACGAATTCAGGGTTTTTTAAGGACGATAAAGATGCTGGTTCACTACACATTAGGACACTGATGACTCTATTTCCGACGACGTGACAACGTCCTCATTGTACAACATCTCTACTGGTATTTACGAACAACAGCAGAGCTGATATCTTTCTGACATTACTTGCAATATTATTTAAAGTTCATACACAGCCCTCAAAATGGCCGACTCCGACGAGGTGTATTCAAGCGAGAAATTCACGCAAATGATTGTGAGATTTTTCCGTTTATACCATCTGCACTGTGATTGGCTGGACTAGTTCCACCTTGTCGATGCATTAAGATCACGTGGCAATATAATCAAACCGGTTTGAAAATATCGCAGCATCTATGACTGCTCGAAACATGCTCAGATTACATCGCTGACCTGCTCATACTTAGGCTAAATCATTGGCAAAAGTGAAAGTGACGTGAAGGCCAAGTATGGTAATGGCAACCCATACTTAGAATTTGTTCTCTGCATTTAACCCATTCAAGTCAGTGCACACACATTAGGACTAGTGAGTAGTGAACACACAAAAACACGCACACATACACCCGGAGAAGTAGGCAGAAATTTTTGCTGTGGCGCCTGGGGAGCGATTGGGGGTTCGGTGCCTTCATAACAGAACAGAATAAATTCCATTCACTAGCCTCTATGGATATCTAATATTATTGGATTTACACTTACATAATTTGCACAGTTTTGATTGGCTATTTGGGCTGTAAGTCAGTTTTTCAGTTGTAAATTAATTGCAGCATTGCTGTCGACAGGATTAGTCTTAATCAGTGTTGCAATATACAACGTCTTGAGTCTTTGGAGTGCTTAAAGAGCTGATGGGATGCATTGCAAATACAAACGCAGAGTAAACTGACTTTTCTTGAAAAGGATTTTGCTCCAGACTAAGCAATGCCAAACATGCTGTCCAAATGGCTGTCCAATGAGTGTAATATCCTGAAATTATGAGCAATGCTAAACTAAAAGCACATTTCATAACAAACAAGCAAAACTTCAGTGAATTTTGAGTGAATGTAATGTTTGTATTGTGAATTGATGTCAGAAATATTTAATTTACTTTAACTCAGGCACAGCAGCAACGACTAAACGACATCCATGACATTGTCAATCAAACTATTGTTACGGCTGGTGTAATCGTCTCTGAGGCAAACCTGACTGTCCTCGAAGTGGAAGATATGATCACGGTAAATCTTCTTTAGTATCAACTTTATATATGCTTATTCTGTAGGCTACTGCATGTAGTCTTACAACAGAAATAATATCCAAATGGCCATGTCATTTTCAACTCTGCTACACTTCATACTTATAAAGTCTATTGACCATTTTCCATTAAATGGGACAAAACTAGATATACAGTATTTAGCTTGATTTTTTTGCTGCTTTATGGTACCTCCTTGGTAAACTATGTTAAAATATTGATTGTTTTTATAATTTTTTCTAGATGCACACGGATAAAAGTTTAAACCAAAGAAATGGCGTGTCGTGCCCAAATTAAAGTTTAAAAAACATAAAAAGAACATAACCAGCTAACTGCCAATGACTCATTTAAACCTCAATGATATGAATTGTTGTTTTATTGAATCTGTGTGTGTAGAATGTGAGAAAACAGCATGCAGAAATCGATGGGGCTCGTGTGTCACTGGAGAGAAAGACAGAGAAATTGTCTCAGTCAGACAAAGAACTAGTTCTGAGAGCAGAGGATCACGCTGATGATCTGCTGAGACATGCTGAAGAACTTAAGTAGTGAGTTTCAAACCAGAAATGCCCAATGTTATTTATCTATCTGCATGATATTTCAAATGTACACTCAGACTGTCATGAAAAGGTGAATGCTCATTGGAGCATCACTAACATGACAATCGCTGCTCTTATCTCTCCTTTAGTAACCTGAAAGGAAGCGATGCAAATGGACGAGTGCAGAAAGCCCTGAACGCCTTGAATGTGTATGACAATATCGTCAAAAACATTGATAACGCTAACATCACTGGCCTGACTGCTCTCAACATCTCCAGCACTACACATACCGTAAGTCAAGTCACCTTTACAATACAATAGAAATGGTTTCAAACAGTGTGTATGTATATATGAAGAGTTCAGATGCAAAAGCCTCTAAATGCCATTTGAAATTTTCTTGTTTAATGATGATTTTTATCAAACTTGTATATTTAAGTTCAGTAATTTCACTTAAATGGCAATGATAATTACCTATTAATTGTTATTTAAGTGAAATTACTGAACTTAAATATACAAGTTTCATAAAAATCATCATTAAAGAAGAAAATTTTTAAATGGCATTTAGAGGCTTTTGCATCTGAACTCTTCATATATATATATATACATACTGTGTTGTCAAACGTGTCCTCTGATGTTTCTCTCAGGACATTGACGGATTAAACGCTAAACTGAGCCTCATGCGCTCTCAGAGTGACAGCGTGTTAACAGAGGCCTCAACCCTGTACTATCAGCAGAAAGGTAAAGCAGAGAGAATTGTTTTTCTCACTTTTCCTACTTTGTGGATTTAACTAAGTCCATTTTATTTTATTTTTGCAGACATTGTATCCACAGTCCTCGACAATAAGAAATACATCGAAGAGACCAATGAGATGATGGTTAACTCCTCTAAAAAAATAGCTAAGATCCTCAGTGACATCAATGCAATTCATAAAGGCAAGAATATTGTACATGGACTTTTTTTAGTAGCATCTCTGCCTGTCCTGGATCTGTATTTGGTTCTGCCATGTTTGATTTTGAATTCTTTATTTTATCATTTTCTTCTTGTTATATCATCTTGATATTGCTTCTCTTAGAAATAAATAGTTAGTCAGAAATTTGAGGGGGGACCTATAATGCATAATTCACTTTTATATGGTGTTTGAACACTGATGTGTTTAAACCACCAGCCTAAAAATGTAAAGATCCACCCACTCCTTTTTTATTATTCCCATAAATCATAAACAGTCTCTCCAAATGAGCGGTTCCAGATTTCCCCCCTACTCTTACGTGATGTGCAATGATGCACATATCATCTTCTTCACAAACTGGGGTCAGTTTAATTTGAAAGATTTCTGAAAGATTTTTAGATTCAATGAATTAAATAAATTGAACTCCAAAACGACTATATAAAGATATCCACCTAACCCTTCAGAAAAGCCATGTTTCTGTCTAAAAGTCTTAACATTTTCCTGAGTCAGTGTCCGACTGGAACATTTAAGGTTGAACACCCCTACTGACGATTTCTGACATTAGTTTGCATGACATTCTCCAGATTTTGTTTGTTGCCGGAGTATCCGTATAAAGTATACCATTTTTCTTCAGATACAAGTAAATATTAAAGCTGCAAGCAGCGATGGGCGGGCCCTCGCACCTGTAGCACGTCGGGGTGTGAGGCGGCCGCGTTTCATTTTCTGCAGCTCAGCCAGTGCGGCTGTGCATTTGCCACACTGCTTCGTTAAAGGCCACTTCCTGTTGCCAGCAGGTGGCGCTATGACTGTGGGTGAATGTCGGCATGTAGATTTGATCAGGGCGGGACTCTTGTCAAATGTGTTAAATTTCGTGCAGATCTGGGCATTTACAGCCAAGTTACTACAACTTCCTGTTTCATGGCGAATCATCGACGCCACGGACACGCCCATCGACGAAAACGCGCAGATAGCACAACTTTTCATCGTCAATGCCTTTAGAAGGCACAGCAGAAATTTGAAGGCGATCCGACTAAAGCCCTAGGAGGAGTTAGTTAAAGTACGTAATGAGTAAATCATCCAAAAATGGCGGTAAAATTAGAAATGGCTAACTTCCTGTTGAGTTTAGGGCATCGCTCCAAGAGACTTTTCTGTGCGTCTGGACATGGTAGATGTACCACAGAAATTTCGTACATGTCGGTCAAACATGCGACGGGGGCTGCTTCGTTAAAAGTCACTTCCTCTTGCCACTAGGTGGCGCTATGAATGTGGGTGAATGTCGGCATGTAGATTTGTTCAGGGCGGGACTCTTGTCAAATGTGTAAAATTTCGTGTGGATCTGGGCATTTCCAGCCAAGTTACTACAACTTCCTGTTTCATTGCGAATCATCGACGCCACGGACACGCCCATCGACGAAAACGCGCAGATAGCACAACTTTACATCGTCAATGCCTTTAGAAGGTACAGCAGAAATTTTAAGTTGATCCGACTAAATCCCTAGGAGGAGTTCGTTAAAGTACGGAGTGTGTAAATCGTCCCAAATCGGTCGCCAAATTCAAAATGGCGGACTTCCTGTCGAGTTTAGGGTATGGGTTCTTGAGGCTTTTTGTGCGTCTGGTCATGGTAGAAGTACCACAGAAATTTCGTACATGTCGGTCAAACAAGCGGCGGGGGCTGCTTCGTTAAAGGACACTTCCTGTTGCCAGCAGGTGGCGCTATGACTGTGGGTGAATGTCGGCATGTAGATTTGTTCAGGGCGGGACTCTTGTCAAATGTGTAAAATTTCGTGCAGATCTGGGCATTTACAGCCAAGTTACTACAACTTCCTGTTTCATGGCGAATCTTCGACGCCACGGACACGCCCAGCGACGAAAACGCGCAGATAGCACAACTTTACATCGTCAATGCCTTTAGAAGGCACAGCAGAAATTTTAAGTCGATACGACTAAATCCCTAGGAGGAGTTCGTTAAAGTACGGAGTCTGTAAATCGTCCAAAAATGGCCGCCAAATTCAAAATGGCGGACCTCCTGTCGAGTTTAGGGTATGGGTTCTTGAGGCTTTTTTGTGCGTCTTGATATGATACACGTCCCCACCAAATTTCGTGCATGTAGGTTGAACGTGGACGAGGGGCTAATTTTTTCCAATTTTCTAGGTGGCGCTAGCGAGCCATTTTGCCCCGCCCATCCGCGAAACCCACAAAATACGAAATTTTTCACCAGTCCTGACATGCGTGCCAAATTTGGTGAGTTTTTGAGCATGTTGCGGCCCCGAAAATGGCACTTACTTTGCAGAAAAAAGAAAAAAAAAAATAATCCTAACAGTTTCAATAGGGTCCTCGCACTGTTAGTGCTCGGGCCCTAATAATGTTGACCAAAAAGGATAAACAATGCAGGTTTATTTTCAGAGGCATTTTTTAAAATCATATTTACAGAGGCTGCCAAAAATTCTGACCAGGACTGTATTTGTAGATAAAACTAAAACATTTGTGTTAGTCAATTATTAATTTAGTTTGCTTTCTATAAATAAAGACAACTCCAAAAGACCTTAATGTTTATAGTGATGTCTGTTTGAAATATGCTTCATCTTTTTCTGTTCTAACATGATACATTATTTAGTGCATAACAGAAAAGATGATGCATATTTAAAAAATACATCAAAATAAACATTGGGGTCTTGTTAATTAATTAATAAATATTAATATCAATAATTTCCCCAATTTTTTATTTTACAGTCAAATTTTACCAAGTCAAGTTTGAGACTGCTCTAGATTTCTATATTCCATTTGACCAGTTGTATTTCTACACTAGTATCGCATTTAGCCTATACGTGTATGTGCATGTTTGAATGTTTATGTTATAATACACATTTGCGAATGAGTGTGGTTATTTTGTGTGTGTTTCTAGACCGGACTGCGAGACGTCTGCAGTTCACTCATGAAGTGGCCGAGGGGACTCTGAACCGCTCTGCTGAAGTGCTGCAGAAAGTGACACCCATCTTGAAGAGAGTGGAGGAGTGGGACGGCAACATGAAAAAGGAGGCGTATTCTGCCGCAGCGTTTGACCGCACTGTTCTGTCTGCCGGCGAGGCCGGTATGGTTAGACTTCCATCAACCCAGAAAAGTTCTTTAGTATATTAGAAAAGGATCTATGACCTCTGGAAGCATCTATTTCAATAGCTTAGTCGGTATAGGGTCTAACATATATGTCGTCAATTTAGATGACTTAACGAATTTAGACAATTCTTCCTCTTCTATAGCAATGAAAGAATGGAATTTTTCCTTGGGGAGACTACAATGCACTCCCAGACGGTTGCATAGTTATAATTTTCTCCCTGATGTTATCAATCTTATAAGTGAAGTTCATAAAGTCATTACTGCTGTGTTGCTTGGAAACGCCTGGGTTGAAGCTTTATTTTTCGTTCATTTAGCCACTGTTTCAAATAAATACCTTGGGGTGTTTTCATTTTAAATCGTAAATCTTGCACAATCACAGGAAATAATTTAATTCTACATTGAAAAATAAGGTGGATTGAGCATTCCAGATTAATTACTTCCATTTCCATGACCAGAAGGCGACTGTCAACATTGCCACAGCAGGTCTTTGGAACAGAGATATTGTGCATGTTGGCTTTTTTTGTGTGAAGATTATGAAGATTGTTGCTAATGTTTTCTCACTTACTACTGTACTTACTCACTCTCTTTCTCTCTCTGTGCGTGTGTGTGTGTTTGTGTATTTGTTTGTGTTTAGTTAAGGATCTGTCAGAGATCGTGCCAGAGCTACTTGACAAGCTGCGTGTGGTTGAAGAGAAAAAACCTGTGAATAATGTCTCCACAAACATCATAAAAATCAGAGAACTCATCGCACAGGCCCGCAGTGTGGCGAAGAAGGTACACCAGTTATTAAACATACGCATAATTTTGACTGACCCACTTGTAGGTCACATATATTTAGTATATGTATCACATACATTTAGTCACATTTAGAATTTTTCAATTATACGCCTTTCAACATATATCTACCAAAAGTTGATATTGGATTCTCTGATATGAACTATAAAAAAAAAAAAAAATCTGTGAAGAACTACCTATAATCCAGACATGAGATGCACCAATCACAGCAAAATCCCCAATGTTAAATTAACACTGAGAAATGTGAATAATATAAATTCTGAGCAGAGTGTTAAATTAACACTGAAGCAGTGTTAAAGTTACTGTAATTATTAAAGAGCATTACTGAAGACAACTGATGTTAACAAGCAGAATCTCTGAAGGAGAAAACCAAAATTATGGTGATCAGTGTTTGGTTTATATTAGCTGGGCTCTTGACCCTTAAATCATTAACTTTAGATTTAGTTTGGCTGCTGTATGTGACTTATAACAGCCGATGAACAAATAGAAAAAGCTGATCTGATGGTGTTGGTTGTGTTTTAACATAATAATTATTTGACCTGAATCACTGAACTCATCAAGAGCAGATCACCTCTGAACATAAGCTCATTATTTATTCATGCAGCAATGCATGATGGGAGCCATGAATGAGTTTTGATTGGTGGCACCCAGAATGCAATGCAACATGCTTTATAATTGTTACCATTGTTGAGATTCACATGCTAATTATTAATGTCTGTGTGTCTTAAAAAAAATGAAGAGAAGTAAACAATTGTAAAGAAAATACATTGTAACCGTCAAATATATTATGCTGTACGATCACTGCTGCTATAATTAGAGTAAACCTTTACTTCAGTGATTCAGGTCAAATGATTGTGAAATACTGATTATGTTTAAACACAACCAACACCATCAGATCACATTTTCTATTTGTTCATCTGGCTGTTATAACTCATGTACAGCAGCCAAACAAAATCTAAAGTTAATGAATTGAGTGTCAAGATGCCAACTAAAGCAGACACTAATCATCATAACGGTGACTTCCGGCTTTCTCTTTCAGCGATTCTGCTTGTTAACTTCAGGTGTCTTCCATAATGCTCAATCATCACTCAATTATTCACTTAATTATCTCATTAATTAAGCTCAGAGTTTATATAATTCACACTTTAAAGTGTTAATTTAACACTGGGTTTATTATGTTAAATAATTATGACACAAAGGCCACATACACAGGTAAATTTGTTTATTTCAAAAATAGTCAAAAATGTCAAAAATGTCAAAAATTATTTAGTCAAAAATGTGATCCCAAATCCCAATCTTTGATCACCAAAATTATATATTCTAAAAATGTCTTCATGCCTTAAAATAGGTTGAATTGAACTCTACACCCTTGCTTTATTTATTATACACGGAACCGTGAATATGCAAATGAGCCCCGTCTCCACTCACTCACTCAGCTCAGAGATCCACTCATTGAAGGTCACACGTTGTTCTGATTGGTTACAAGGTAGTTTGTGACGTCAGAAACACCAGAGATTTCAAACCTTGTTTTTGTCTTTGGTTCACTGTTTTTGGTTCACAGTTTTAAGGAGAAAACACTTAGCAATGGTGTTCACATGAATTTACACATGGTTTGTCTTAAAGCACATTAAAAACACCACATAGACATATAAACAACATTTTCACCACAGGGGACTTTAACTGTAGTGTGTTATTTTATATTAATTCATATTTCAAATGTACTAAATTGCACCTTCATCTTTACAAATATGTATATTTACAAATAATTGAAGTGCATGGCATACAAGTTTAATTGGGAATGGCATTAAATTATTATACTGCAATAAATTAAATGCTGGGCTATTCTCAACTTCCCCACGGTTTACTGGTTTTACTGTTTACTGCATTGTTTGGACTAGTATTGTTGAGTTCGCTATTCACTATGACTAAAACTATTGTTGTATTAAATCAAGCTTAAACCGCCATGTTATTGCTAGTTACATGTTTGCATCTAAGTGGAAAAAACTTTTTTTCCTATAATTGCAGGTGCAAGTCTCAATGAAGTTTAACGGCCAGTCTGCCGTTGAGGTTCAACCCTACTCCAACCTAGACGAGCTGAAGGCGGTCACGTCCATCAGTTTCTACATCAGAGTGGACCCAGACAAAGACCCAATAGAGGATCGCTTCCTACTGTACCTCGGAGACAAGCAGGTGAGCACTAGAAAACTGGGTCTGAAAGGGGGGAGGGGATATATCATTCATTGAAAGATTATTCATTCAGTGGTTCATTAAGGAATTAAACACAATGACTGTGTAGTTGTTGGATGCATGAAACAGTTGATCCCATTGCTATTGGCAGAGTGAAAAAAATGGACTTGCAATTCTGTGTTTAAAATGTAAATTACTTAATGTCTTGTTTATTTTTGTTGTTGTATGAAATTGTAAATTGACTGCATTTATATAGCACTTTCACAGACCTAATGGCCATCAAAGACCCAATGGCGCCTTACATATTGCCTCACATTCACCCATTCACTCATATTCCGTACAAGGCGCCATCCAGCTCATCCGGAGCAGCTGGGGTTTTTGTCTTGCTCATGGACACCTCGACACTTGGTCAGGTGGAAACCGCGATTGAACCACCAACCTTCTGGTTTGTAGACAATCTACATGAACCACTGAGCCACTGCCCATTGACAAGAAAATTATTAATATGAGTTAAAGGATTAGTTCACTTCTGAATAAAAAAAAAAAAAATCCTGACAATTTACTCCCACATCATCCAAAATATTAAAGGATTAGTTCACTTTTGAAAAAACTTCTGCTGATAATTTACTCACCCCCATGTCATCCAAGATGTCCATGTCTTTCTTTCCTCAGTCGAAAAGAAATTAAGGTTTTTGATGAAAACATTCCAGGATTTTTCTCCATATAATGGACTTCAATGGGAACCGGATGGTTCAAGGTCCAAAAGACAGTTAATAACTGTTTCAGATGCAGCTTCAAATGTCTTTAAACGACACCAGACGATGAATAAGGGTCTTATCATGCGAAACGATTGGTTATTTCAAAGCTTATTCCAAAAATGTAACTTTTCTAAGGACAAATGCTAGCCTTTCTCCATTCTGTGAGGCGCGTTTGTAACGTCACGTAATACGTAATTACGTTCAAAAGGTCACGGGCAACGTAGCCGGAAGTACAGAATCAAAATCGTCCGACATCGTTGTTTTACCTTTTAATTCCTTTTTTTTAAACGCCGTTTGAGTTAGTTTTCACGTTCAACCTATGCGTTCAACTTGTAAACACTCTGACTCTGTACTTCCGGCTACGTCGCCCGTGACCTTTTGAACGTAATTACGTACTACGTGACGTTGCAAATGCGCCTCACAGAATAGAGCAAGGCTAGCATTTGTCCTTAGAAAAGTTACATTTTTGGAATAAGTTTTGAAATAACCGATCGTTTCGCATGATAAGACCCTTATTCATCGTCTGGTGTCGTTTAAAGACATTTGAAGCTGCATCTGAAACTGTTATTAACACTATCTTTTGGACCTGAACCATCCGGTTCCCATTGAAGTCCATTATATGGAGAAAAATCCTGGAATGTTTTCATCAAAAACCTAAATTTCTTTTCGACTGAGGAAAGAAAGACATGGACATCTTGGATGACATGGGGGTGAGTAAATTATCAGCAAAAGTTTTTTTCAAAAGTGAACTAATCCTTTAATGTCTTTCATTCTTAGAGTAGAAAATAAATGAAGGTATTTGAGGAAAACATTCCGGATATTTCTCCATATAGTGGACTTCAAAGGGGTCCAAAAGGTTGAAGGCAAACTGCAGTTTGGACTTTCAGCCTGTTGGATCCCATTGAAGTCCACCATCCATTATTTCCTCAAAAAACGTCATTGAATTTCGCTTGAAAGACATACATATCTTGGATGAAAGAAAGACATGAATATCTTGGATAACGTGGGGGTGAGTCAATTATCAGGAAATTTTTATATTCTGAAGTGAACTAATCCTGGTGCCTGCATGGTGTCGTGATTCTGTAGTCTGACAGATTGTTGTAGACTTCTGTATTTTCTCAACCTAGCACTGATTGAAAAATGGGAAATTTGCACCTTTATACACTTTATTTCCCTTTAGTGATTGAGATACTAAAACAACGGACACTATAAAACCACACTTGCTGCCAGCGGTGCCCCGGCCTTTATGCAAAGAATGCGCACTTCATAAACGAACATCACTAGCATGTCATTGTCAGTACGAATTCTGTAATGTCTAAATCATGTCAGTAATAACGCATACAAATAGTGATTCATATGACGTTTCCCATGCCACGGTTGTGTTGGTGTCCTGTTGAGATTGTAACAAAATCTCTTTTTTAATGATGTTGTCCGTCTTCTTTGGGTGCTGTGCTGGCTGTACTAAATTTAGCGTTTATAGTTCAGGTGTTCACACAGAATAAAATGCAGTGAGCTGAAAGCTTTTTTGCTTTTAAGATTTCCATTACACAAGAATAGATGTTAAACTTCCCACTGAGCAAAATGATGTCCAAAAGACGTCTTTTCAACGTCTTTGTCACACAAGTCGGATGTTGAAAAGACGTCCACTGAGGGGCCGGAATGAAAGTTTTTATAACGTCTTTTTTTGACGTGTTCTGGACGTCTGAAAAAGATGTTAATGGATCCTTCGTACAAGGTTAAAAACTAGTTCAAATGTGGCCATTTTCAACATTATTTATGGTCTCATTTAGACAATTTAGACAGTTTCTGGACCAAATAAACACTCTCAGGGTGCATTAAATTAAAAATTTCCTTACATTGTTTTATTTTGAGTCACCATTGTGGTGATCAGTGTTTGCTTTAGTTGGGCTCTTGGTCCCAATAATTAGTATTCTAGCTTTTCTTTGGCTGTTGTAACTGTGTGTTTGAATAACACCATTGTTTTGACAGAGAAAGCCAAGAAAATTGACTCTCATCAGCTCCTTGTTGTTGTAGATGATGGTGATGATGATGATGATGAAATCAACATAAAGTGGGCATTTAACGTTGTGTTTAGACTTTTGTGTTTGTATATGGAGTTTATAACCACCAATGTTGTGGAACTGCATTAGTAGCATGGAAGTTGGACAAAAAGCAAATTTACACAATGTTTTGAGAAAAGCTACCATAGAGTCACACACAGACATGAAGATTTTGCATATGATTCACAAAAATGGTGACAATAAATAAAAAAAATGCTTCATGCTGCAATGCATGATGGGTAGCTTTCATAGTACAAAACATCCTCGATTCCCAGGCTTTTTTGTTTTGGTTGTCACCGTCGTTGAGAATCATATGAAAAATCTTGATATCTCGTGTGTGACTATGTGATTCACTTTCTTAAAACATATTATACACAGTGGTCATTATAAAGTTACTGGTCCAAATAATGCAGTTCTAAAAGGTGAATATTTATTATTTCAGATATAAAAACAGAAGTTTAGATGTTGTTTAATGCTTGCATTGCGTTGATTTTGTCATCATCAACAAGCAGCTGAAGACAGATGATCTTTTATTTTCTTGGCTTTCTCTGCACAATCAATGGTGTTATGCAAACAGTTACAACAGCCAAAGAAAAGCTAAAGTAAGAAGAATTGGGACCAAGAGCCCAACTAAAGCAAACACTGATCACCACAATGGTGAGTTAAAATGAAACAAATATCCAGTGTTGGGGAAGCTACTCTGAAACTGTAGTTTGACAAGCTACAAGCTACTCGTACGTTAAAGTAGTTAAACTACAGTCAAGTTACCCTTTTGGAAAAGTAGCTAGCTACACTACAAGTTACTATCAAAAAGTAGCTAGCTACGTTGAAACTACTTTTGCTTTTTGAACAACATATTATAAATATTATATTACATATTATTATTATAACATGCTATAAATTATATATTATAAATAACTGAATAAGTGTCTGATGAATGTTTTAATTAAAATATTTAGTGTTTAAAACAATGCAATACAATTATGATTTCATAGAGTATTGTTTTATTACACACAACACTCAAATATCGCAGACTGTTTGTCAAAAGTGCAAAATTGCAACAAATAGCCTACAACATTGCAAGAACAAAATATACATTCAACATAAATTGCATTTAGAATATTTTCTCAAAAATACCGATTGAACTTGGACAAATAAGGCCATGGGTAATTAACTTTAGTTGTTTCTCCATCATCCAAATCTGCCGTCACCTCTGGCTCCATCATAATCATAATATGGGTGTGTCACTGTCAACCCACTTCTTTACGTCAGTGAACCGTTAGCCGCAAGACGCGGGATTAAACAACAGGTGGCGGTAATGGCAAAAAATGAGTTTGTAACCTAACGAGAAGAAGAATATCCTTGCATCGCGTCGATTCGCGCAGGCTCGACAAACGCAATGTAGCTTTTGCTCGCGCTACACCGCTACTTGCTGCAAAAAGTAGTTAGCTACTGGAAAAGCTACACTGTTTAAAAAGCAACTGAGCTACAGCCAAGCTACTAAAAAATGTAGTTAAGTTAGTAGCGTCGCTACTTGTAGTTAACTACTCCCCAACACTGCAAATATCACCATCTAAACCACATCTAAACAATGTAAATAACCATGAGTTTTAATTTAATGCATCCCAAGAGTGTTTATTTGGTCCAGAAACAGTATAAATTGTCTAAATGAGGCCATAAGTTATGTTGAAAACATGTCCACAATGGCCACATTTAAAAGACGTCTTTTGGACATCACTTTGCTCAGTGGGTTCATGCTGATTTGTACTTGGCTTTCGCAAAGATAAGCACAAACTAAAACATAGTTTTACAGTAAACTATGCTTCTCCATCCATTTACGCTTCTTTCCATATGGTGGTGCGACTCCGGCGTTAACGGCTGCAGACACGACGCGTCAGCACACACGACGGCTGCAACTATAGTGTGGTCACCCAGTGGACCAACACAACAACTGTCTGGATTGAGCGAAGTAGGGAACATCTCTAGGGTCTTCAAGTGGGCACCTTCTGTCCTCAGTGTTTCGTTGACTAACCCATGACACGTCAAGAGGGCTCAACAGTGACTCTGGCGTCCCAGAGTCACCCCACTCAACTCAGCCCAGCTTACTGACCTCTACATCCCTCCTGCCACTGAGGTTGCTCCTTCCTCGTAGTTAACATGTGACCTAACCACAAAAATAAAAATATGGCGCAGTGACACGCCAAAGAAGACAGTCTATCGCATGTAGCTAAATAAAAACGATTTTAAAACAGAGATGGAATGCAATTACAAAATGCAATAATGCCGTATCCCTTGTTGTTGACCAGTCCTGTCAATCTGCTCTCAGGTTCCAACAAACCATCATTGATTCAAAGAGCTGATGAGGTACTAATAAAACTGTTCAGCAAAATTGAGTATTCATTCTATATTTTATAAGTTTACCCAGTTTACGGCGGGTCAAAGTTTTAATTAAGATGGCTAATTAAAACCTAAAAGCCCAGTTCTTTTCCATCTCCCTCCCCCTTTGCAATGTTTGGTTCCAAACCACATGACATCTGCATCATAAATGTAATGGCTCAATAAATAGAGCTATAAAAATACTTAAAAACTCTTTTTCTCGCAATGGAATGTGTTGTTAAATGTTGATTCTACTTGTGTGTGTGTGCAGGGTCGTAAGGACTACATGGGACTGGCCATAAAGAACGATAATCTTGTTTATGTGTACAATCTGGGAGGAGAGGACGTGGAGATTCCACTCAGTTCAAAGCCGGTCAGCTCCTGGCCTCCTGTCTTCAATCTTGTTAAAGTGGAGAGGTAGAATAACGGCTTTCAACATCTGATCTAGAATAGTGGTTTTATTTAAGAGACCTAAGAGGAAAAAAACTAGGAACCTAGGAAACACACACACACAGCAGCCAACTATGTGTGTAAGTCTAAATAAAGTTACCGCACAAATGTTCAGGATTTGAGAGTAAGATTTGTTAACTTGTGCTCCAGGAATGTTTTGTTCACAGAGTTTTTCATTAGAGGTTTCAGTTATGAAAATAAGGTCTGAAGCTTTTAGGTCCAGTTGCTCTTTTCCACCGGTGCTGCATCCTGCTGCTCTCTAATTACACCAAAATACACTAAAATAAAATAAACAAAAACAAAATTTAAAGCCACTGTCGGTTATTCAAGATTTCACTTACACTGTAAAAAAAATCTTTTCATGATTAGTAATCACATCATTTTTTTTTGTCAAATCAACTTAAATAATTTATTTAGTTCAGATAACATATAATTTTGAGTTTCTGATGATTAAATCATTCTCCTTCATTGTATTAACTCGCTTTTTCGATTTCAATGAACTTAAAATTTTAAGGCAACCAGGTTACTTACTTTTTTAAGTTAAACCAACAATATTTTTTACAGTGTATGACCTTGTTGGAACTGTTTATTAAATAATGTTGTCGGTTTTTATAAGCCACAATGAACTGACCATATACTTAATCAACCTATTTTCTCATAAGCCTAAATGTTACTTAATAGAGGTTTTTTTTTTGTTAGCTTTTTGTAACTTAATTTAACCATAAACAAAAGCTAAATTAGCTATAATATTAAATATATGAAGAGTTCAGATGCAAAAGCCTCTAAATGCCATTTGAAATTTTCTTCTTTAATGATGATTTTTATCAAACTTGTATATTTAAGTTCAGTAATTTCACTTAAATAACAATCAATAGGTAATTATCATTGCCATTTAAGTGAAATCACTGAACTTAAATATACAAGCTTGATAAAAAATTATCATTCTAGAAGAAAATTTCAAATGGCATTTAGAGGCTTTTGCATCTGAACTCTTCATATATTTAATATTATAGCTAATTTAGCTTTTGTTTATGGTTAAATTAAGTTACAAAAAGCTAACAAAAAAAAATACCTCTATTAAGTAACATTTACAAGCTTGATAAAAATTATCATTCTAGAAGAAAATTTCAAATGGCACTTAGAGGCTTTTGCATCTGAACTCTTCATATGAATTTTCACTTACAACAAAGCTAAGAACATTTTATTTGTCAATGTTTCATTTAGTCATTTACTATAAATATTGTGATGTCTTTCTAAAAAAAGCAAAAGAAAAATCAATTTAACCTACAATTTTTGATTTTTGAGTCAGTAAAGCTAGTCAGTAGCCAATATATGTTCTGCACAACACTATGGTGTCAAGTTAAAAAAATATTATTGTAGGGATGTATGTTGTTCAGTGTAGAAGGAGGCGGGATCCGGTGAACGTTTCACAGACTTTAACAATCATAAAATAAACAAACACTAAAACGAAAGTTAAAGTGGCAGCCCCTCATGGACCCCTTAAACTGGTTTAACTGGTGGAAACCATGATTTTTTTTTATTAAACCAATATAAAAATGTACTTTAAAGCTCTAGTCCGTAACTTTTTGGGGTTAAAACCTATCCAAAATAAATTTGAGCAAGTACACAAGCAGCCAGTTTTCAAAGCTATCTAATTGCCTTAACTCGATTCAAAATGTTAAGCTTATTGTTTTTAATTCCAGTGGTACTGATGGATTTCTGTGGGAGATTTGAGCATGTCTTTGTATCATTACGTCACATCTGTACACATAAAGAAGGAGAGTCGGCTAGTAGCTTATATTGTGTGTGAGGATGCTGGAGGTGGAGATTTGTAGACTTTTCTCACAACACTTGATAATTTGATGGCAGATCCGAAAAGGTTTAAACGACAATCACCAGTGACAACGGACATCAGCCGCTGTAAAATGCAAAAGACTTCGTTCGGACTTCGGAGTGGCTACAGAAAACTAGAGACTGCAACCGGGCATGTGAAAACAAGGATACATATCAGAAGGGAATTAAATGTCGTCACACAATGCTAATGTTTTTAACCTTTCGGTTTGTAGACAACCTACATGAACCACTGAGCCACTGCCGCCCCATATATGATAAGCGATCGTTAGATTTACTTAGCACAATTTACTGCAATGCTTTTTTTCTCTTAGAACATGATGATACAGAACAGGATGTTACTTGTTCAGATGACATTTTCCGGTGAAAATCCTTATGTTGGTCATAAATCCAATGCCAGTATCCACAATGGCGCGATGACTGACAGCCACACACCCTCCTCGAAACATTGGATTCATCCACGCTGTGCCGTGTCGAGGCACAACTCACATAAAGATGATAATTTGTAGGGCTGGGTAATAAATATTGATTTCTCGATATTAATCGATTCTCATTTTTACGAACCGATATCGATTCTTAAATCTCAAAAATCGATTAGTCATCCTGTTTCATTTGAATGAATGGATCATTGTATCGCGGCTGCGCGCATCCAAAAAATCGCATTAATCTTTGTCCTTTTTTACTATTGATATGAAACAAAGTCTCGATTTTCAAATTACGTCCATTTTCTTTAGAAATTCAAAAACATAAATAGCGTTTTGGCACTGTGGCGTGAGATTGCTCTGGAGAAGCAGCAGCGCTGATCTCTCTTCCGGCTTAATAATACCAGTCACAGCGCCAAATAAACATGAATGAGCATCTGAAAGTGTGTTAAAAGATAGAGTACAACTTATCGAAATCCGTATCATGTCACATTGATTCGCTCAATCAGTGTTTCAACCATGGAAAGACGTCAGTTAAACAGCTTGTAATCAATGTATCGTCATATTTACCTCAGAAAACCCACATAAACTCGTTAGTCAGCTAGAAAAAATAACTTTAGAGAGGGGCATTTTGCTAAATATATACACCATATTACATATGCATTATAATCTTAATGTTCTTCAATATTTAATGCATGTTTGAATAAATCTGGCAAGTTTTTATGACAGCCACCATTTAAATGTTTATATTTCATATAATCTTCTTATTATAAAAATAAATAAATGTGTAATTTAAGTGTTTGTATAGCTATAAAACAGTTCATTATTACCTTCATATTAGTAGGCTACAACTAGACTCCCATAGTTTACAGCATTAGTTAAGAGATTTGATTCCCTTGAGAAAAAAGCCATTTATTGTAACTGATATCCAAAATAATCGATATTGAATCTAATCGAATCGTAATCGAAATCTAATCGAATTGCAAGCTTGTGAATCGAAATTGAATCGAATTGTGAAATTTGCCTCAATACCCAGCCCTAATAATTTGGCAAATTATTGCAATTGAAGAGTTCAGATGCAAAAGCCTCTAAATGCCATTTGAAATTTTCTTCTTTAATGATGATTTTTATCAAACTTATGTATTTAAGTTCAGTAATTTCACTTAAATTGCAATGATAATTACCTATTAATTGTTATTTAAGTGAAATTACTGAACCTAAATATACAAGTTTGATAAAAATCATCATTAAAGAAGAAAATTTCAAATGGCATTTAGAGGCTTTTGCATCTGAACTCTTCAATTGCAGATTTTGAACAGAGATGTTCATAGAGGAAAAACTACGGCTGCAGCTTTAAATAAATCATAAGCACAAACGAAGACGTAGCTTTACAGTAAACTATGCTTCTCCATCCAGTTACGCTTCTTTCCATATGGTGGTGCGACTCCCCTTCTGTTTAACTTTTTTCGTTGTGGTTATGGGGGATATTGGTCACTATAGCGAGAATAGAAAAGGGGCTTGACTTAAGTTATGTGTTTGTACAAACTGTATTCGAAGAGCGACTGTCAGCTGAACAGGACGATTCGAGAGTCGTGCCTCAATCCCAAAACTCTGTGTGTATGTAGACCAATTTGTGTTGCTTTTCTTGCTAGGTTTCATCAAATACATGTTAAATGTTTTTTTTTCAAGTTAAGTCCATGCCGATATTTGTATATAGAACTTAGTTTTAGTTTTGCTATGAATAATATATCTATAATCAGTGGTTTTACCCTTTCTGATAGGTTGGGACGCCATGGTAAAGTGTTCCTGACGGTCCCGAGTCAAGACACCACAGCAGAGCAGAAGTTCATCCAGAAAGGAGAGGGGGCTGGGACAGACTCCATGTTTGACCTTGACCCTAAAGACAATATTTTCATTGTAGGAGGAGTTCCTCCTGATGTGAAGGTGCAACAATCTTTTTTTTCTGTTAAGATAATGTCTCAGATAGGTCATACAAATGGGGAAATTGAAGATATGATTTAATCATTTTTTTCACCGTAACACATTCTGATGCATTCTCATGTTCTTCCAGATTCCTCCAGCTTTAAGCTTGGCTCCTTTTGTTGGATGCATCGAGTTAGAGACTTTGAACAGTGATATCATCAGTCTGTACAACTTTAAACAGCTTCACAAAATGGATGTTGCCGCATCAGTGCCTTGTCCCAGGTAAACCTTGCATCCATTCATGCTTTAAACCTTAAACAGTATGGTAAAGACTGCCTAAAGCAGGGGCAGAACAGTTTCATACCGCCTTTCAAGTGTAAAAAATTAATATTCACATTCACTTTATGCATTTTGGTTGACCATTACTATTATCCGGGACCCCATCCCACTGTTCTCCTAGGATTGCATTCAAATATTCGCTAAATGTAGTTGTCGCTGGATTTTACCAGCCCGCTTGAAATACATATTTACAAATATAATGTGAAATGTTTATTAGTTTTATTGACATGTTTGAAGGTTTTTATACTTAAATTCATCACAGCAATATTGTGATATATATGGTCTTCTACTTATTTTGCAAGCAGAGAATTTCAGGTATCATTAGCCTAGTAAATATGCAAATTAGTAGGTATTAGGTCGCTCAGCTCTAGATCTATAGCTGTGCTTTATGCCGGTAGTTCATTTACTGTATATTGTTATTGTCGTTGCTTTGTGCATTTCTTCCCTTTAAATGTCAGATATTTCACAGATCTTTCTCTCCTAAGCTTGAGTGAGGTCAAAATTGGCACTTTTAACTGTATATGGTCTGTTTACATATTGCAATCTTTCTGTTTTTTCCAGGCATAAGTTGGCTTTCTCTCAGAGTCGTGTGACAAGTTATTTGTTTGATGGCAGCGGCTTTGCTTTAGTCAACAAGATTGAGAGAAGAGGCAAAATTGGCATTGTTACTCGATTTGATATCGAAGTTCGTACTGTTGCCAACAACGGCATTCTATTCCTCATGGTCAATGAGGTAAATATAGTTTCATTATAAATGTTGTTTGGATTGATTCTTGGAAAACTGAAAAAGTATATGTATGAAGAAATTATTGGCACAGAGAAACAATATTGTTTGATTCACTTTCAGAAAGATTTTTTTCCAGCTGATGAATAATAAAAACATTGACAGACAATCAGAAACAATTCTGAAACAATTTTCGATTTCAATTTTCTAATGTTAACAAATGGAACCATTGCAAAGTGTTCCATAAATGGGTAACACTTTATAATTACTGCACGCTATTAATCATTAGTTAAGCATGAGTAAACAGTTAATACATCATTTATAAAACATTAATAGACATTAATATGCAGTTTATAAATATAGCTACATGCTTTTTTCTTGATTTATAAGCATATCTATAATGTGTTTAATGATTGTATTTTCATACTTTGTTAATGATCAATTAATAATTTCTAAATGAAGTATAACATTATTTGCAAACCAGTTGTTTAAGAGTTGTCAGTCATTTATGAGACCACTTAGAAAGTGTAAGTAAATGTAGTAAATACAGGTAGTTATAAAGCATTTATTAGTGGTCAGTTAACTATTTTTGTGAGCTAATCTAAAGTGAGGGCTATTCATGCTTTGTAAAGCATTTATAAAGACGATTTAAAGACTCGTCAATCTTCTAAACAGTAAAATGTAACAAACACAACGCAGTGATACTGAACATAGAAATATTTAACAGCCTTTAAAAATGCTTTACAAGGCATGACTAGTCCTCACTTTAGATGAGCTCACGAACATAGTTAACTGACCACTACTAAATGCTTTATAACTACCCAAATTAACCCTTAATTACAGCATTAATACATGTTAATAAAGCATTTATTAACACATTAAGTAACCATCACTATATGTCTGAATAATAAGATGTATGAATGTACATTTAAATAGTTTATTAATCATTTACTTACTCGCTCTAAGTAATCGTATGAACCACGGACAACTCTTAAATAACTGGTTTATAAAAAATGCAATTCTTCATTTAGAAATGATAAATTGATCATTAATAAAGGATGAAAATACAATTATTAAACAAATTATAGATATGCTTTTAAATCAAGAAGAAAGCATTTATAGCTGTATTTATGAACTGCTTATTAATGTCTATTAATGCTTTATGAATGATGAATTAATGGTTTACTCATGCATAACTAATGATTATTAGCGTGTAGTTATTATAAAGTGTTACCCATAAATGACTAGTTCAGTCATGAAATGTTACAGCATGTGCAATCTGATAGCAATTTAATTGTTTATTAGAGCCAGAGTGTAGATTGATGTGGAAAAAATGAAGCATTTTAGCATAAGACAAAAAGAAAACAAATACAATGCAAACTAAATACGTTATACTTTCGCATATATGTAAGAGAGGGACCTGGATAAGGTTGCTTTGACATGTAAAGAATTTGAAAGCTTAAAACACAGGAGTCACAGGCTGCTGTATGTTACAGTACGTGTCATATGATAGATGTGTGAATAGTTTTCTAGAGGAGGCATGAGGCATTCGAACTACAGCAATGTGAAATTAATATTGTTTTTCTGTGCATATATATTGATGCATTCATGATGGGTTTCCACAGACAAATTTTTTCGTGCTGGAGCTGAAAAATGGATTTCTCCGCCTGATGTACGACTTTGGTTTCACTAATGGTCCTGTCGTCATGGAGAGTAACTTGGCCAAACTCCAGATCAACGATGCGCGATATCATGAGGCAATGCTTTCTTGATACCATTTCCAGGGCTTTCATCAAGTCATATCTTTAAACACAAAATTTCATATCTTTTAACACCCTGTTGGAAATTTTGTCTCAGGTGTCTGTGATCTATCATCACTCTAAGAAAATCATTCTGCTAGTGGACAGAAGCCATGTCAAGTCCTTGGAAAGTGAAAAGAAACCCTTACCATTCTCTGATATCTATATTGGAGGAGCTCCTTCTAGCATTCTGCTCTCGAGGTGAGAAACTTTGCTACATATTACTGCACAGATCAGGTAGAGAGGCTGATCCAATAACTTAGCAGTATTCATTTCCAACATTGAACCCGTCCATTTGAATGTTCCCCAGGCCAGAACTGTCATCCCTGGTGGGATTGAAGGGTTGTGTGAAGGGCTTCCAGTTCCAGAAAAAGGACTTCAATCTCTTGGAGGAGCCAGGAACCATTGGTATCAGCAGTGGCTGTCCTGAGGAATCATTTGTATGTAACACACCCGTCTAAATTCACAGGCTGCATCCCAATTCACCTACTTATACTATGCCCTAAAAGTATGTACTCTTTTTGTGAAGAAAAGTGTGTAGCAAAAGAGTAGGCAAGCTTTGGGACATACTACTTCGTCATCTTTAACAGACAGCTCAGTCGCGTGCATCCTGTCACCACTCAACCATCTCGTCACAGTTAAAATTCTCCATTCAATCTAATATAATTTCTTACCATTTCAGAGAGAAATGTTAGCACCATCTGCCAGTCCTGGGTCTTTCATGCAGAGTCTCTCCTCGTGTGTTTTCAATTTGAATGTAATGATGCATTTAAAAGTTAATAGCTATACATGTATCTTTACAAGTTCACAATGCTGCAGCAGATGCAACATAATAATGTAGCCAACATTGAATAAATACATTTTCGGCAGGTTAGATACTGATAATTAATCACTGAAACCCCTTTATCTAAACCTCTCTAAAACAACCGCCGGACTCGCGCGTCCTCCATGTGTGTAGTTTCTTAACACTTTTCACTCGTGTTTGTAGTTCAATATCAGTCGTTAGCATGTGCATCCATATGTGTGCATCGATCTGCACTTCGGATTCTGACCGGATATAGAAGACCATACAGGTCTCTTTAGAACACTCATTTCAACATAAAACGATTTGGGATGTACTAATTCTATTTTCGAATACTATTTAGGATGGATAGTATGTGAATTGGGACGCAGCAATAGTGTTGGCAAATTATTTTAGATGGCATAGGAATTATATATGTTTTTGGCTTTTTTTTTGTTTACTTTGATAGGCAGCAGCTATCTTTGGAAAACAGTCTCGACAAGTCGAACCACGAACGACGTGCCAAGTGATCTGAACTGTATGAAGTTCGGTGAACTTCTGAACTGTATGAGCGGCGTTCGTGGTTCAACTTGTCGAGACTGTTTTCCAAAGATGGCGCCCCCCGTATAAACGAAGTGTACTGTCTTTATAAAATATCTTCTTATTAAACGGTCTGTACTCTTACAAAGTTCTCAATGCTTCGTTTTGCATGTAGGGACCCTCATTATGTTACTGTGTTAGTGTGGGGCTATTTTGAGCCTTTTTTGTGGTATTAACTAGCGATTTCTTTTAACTTATCAAATGCCCTCATATACTAGCGTATACGCTAAAAAGTTTTTAGAGATAAAACTCTTTACATTCGATTATCATGAAAACAAATCTCAGCGAACGGTCGACTAGGTAGCGATGTGTAATTGACCTATGGCTAAGCCACGCCCCCTCCATTCACTCGGACAAACACGGCACGGGCGCTATGGCAGCTGTCACAGTGGGAGACATTTCACGGGAGGTAATTGGGGATTTTTGAGGACAGAAAAATGATATATCATCTTGAAGTCACCTAAAGGGCATTAACTATGCACTGGAGGGTTATATTAATAATTTTATTGTTGAGAAGGTCGATGAAAAGCATCAGCTCCAGGCAAAAATGTACAGGTCACAGTGTAAACGTGATAAACCCATCACCGTTTGGTGCTACAGTATTTACATGAATCATTCAGCACAACATTGTTAAAGGGTTAGTTCACCCAAAAATGAAAATTAAGTCATTAATTACTCACCCCCATGCTGTACCAACCCAGTAAGACCTTCGTTCGTCTTCTGAACACAAATGAAAATATTTTTGATTAAATTTGAGAGCTGTATAACTACCACATAGATCTTAGTCTAACGTTAGTAAGACTAGTAACTAGTAATTACTCAAGTGTTACTACATGATCTAGTCATGATTTGTGCAAATGTTTGAGATTTTTGGTGAACTTTAGTAACTTTTAGAAAATGTCTTTAGTAACACTTGAGTCATTACTAGTTAGTTCCAATGATCTTCACTTTATAATACGAATCCAAATAATTAGTAATTCCCACAGAAGTATCTAGTAACACTTTCATCTGTGAGCTATTACTTACTAATTTGTTAATAAGAGTTTCTTTTAGTTAATAGTAGTTACTAGATTGTTAATAAACTTTTTCAGTAGTTCTCTGGGAAGTATTAAAAAAATAGTAGTTATTGATTACTTAATAGTGAACTACCACTTTCGTCTGTGTGCTATTACTTACTAGTTCGTTAATCAGAGTTTCTTGTTAGTTAATAATAGTTACTAGATTGTTAATATTGTGTTACTCATTAGTTCTTGTGTAGTTATTCATTAACGAAGGAACCGTATTCTAAAGTGTTACCAACAAAACTAAATGGAACATAACTGTGACAACTTTGATCACATAAAACTTGGATAAAAGTGTCTTTTTATAGAGAAAGTATGACTGCTTGCCAGGCTCACATATGTGCTTTATTAACTTTTTCAGCATTATGAATAGCATTACGTCTTTGCACTGTTTGACTATGTATAAAAAATATTCTTTTTAAATGAATGAATGAATTTGTTTTGAAAGAACTTGCTCATATCTGGTTGTCTTTTACCTGCAGATGTCCCGTACGGCCTATTTCACGGGAGAAGGCTATCTGGGCTCTACAGCTAAAATCTCACCATTCCAGTCTTTTGAGGGAGGACTAAACTTCAGAACACTACAGTCCAATGGACTCCTATTCTACCACAGAGATGGGGTATAGTCTTTTTAGTTACTATGTTTTACCCAGTCAAGTCTTGTTCTGTCTCTAACCTATAACTGGTGGAGAAGCTAATCCTAAACTAAGAAACAAAAGAAAAAAGAGATCCAAGACTTTATTGCAAGGCTTTTCCTTCTTGCTATGGGAAGGAAGGAGTCACAGATTTACATTTTATTCATTTAGCTGACACTTTTATCCAAAGCGACTTACAATTGCTATAAATGTCAGAGGTCACATGCCTCTGGAGCAACTAGGGGTTAAGCGTCTTGCTCTGGGACACATTTATGTCTCACAGTGGAATCGAATCTGGGTCTCTCACACCAAAGGCATGTGCCTTATCCACTGCGTCATCACCACCCCACAGATGTCACAGATCAACCAAGTCTTTCTCTCTGTTGTAGTTGGATGAGTTTTCTCTCTCATTGGAGAATGGTGCAGTGGTGCTCCAGTCCAAGGGAACCAGAGTCAAATCACATAAGAAGAATTACAATGATGGACGGACCCATTTCTTAGTTGCCTCAGTGACCGACCAGAAGTAAGTTGGTGAACAACATTCGGCATTTTGTTTATCTCAGATAAAGTTCTGAAGCTAACAAGGTGTCCTTATATGTAAAAAAATGTATTACACCAACTATTTATCCATGTTCTCTTGGCAGGTATGAACTTATAATTGATGACAAAGACAAGCTGGAAAAGAAGAAGCCGGCTTCCACGTCTCAGTCAGATAACGTCCCAAAGACCTTCTACTATGGAGGCTCTCCTACGAGTTCCACACAAAATTTCACGGGGTGCATCAGTTATGCTTACATTAGCAGGTAACATATACAGCCTGTTTCAAAATGGACTAAAATAAATATGCTTTTCTCAAACAACCACTACGCAGCAAATTACTTGTGTTTTAAATCTTCTGTACAGGGATCCTCTGAGTAATTGATCTGGTGGTTCAAATCTTTCCCAAGCCCTCCAACACTTCACTTTTTAAATGTCTCCTTTTTCTGACACACTCACTTAATGCTGTACTTCTGATGTAGTAATGCACCTTTGACCTGAACCAGGAGTGTTTGATTCATGAGACATGTAAAATATGTGCATAAGACTAACATGACACCTTCATAATCATGACATGACAAACATGTTATGAATATGAAGGAGGTTTTATGCATGTTTGTGACAACTGTCATTAAAGGGATAGTTCACTTTGAAATTAATTTTTGATATGTTTTAGCTTACCTCAAGGGCATCCAAGATGTTGGTGTCTTTGTTTCCACAGTATTTTCAATTTTGATATTTTTCGGTCAAACCGTTCTTGTCTATCAGTCATATAATGCAGGTTTAGGGGGTCCACCCATGGTTCACCCCAAAGAGCATGTACAGAGAAGTCCAAATTCAACATGATTGAATAACTCGTAAATGTAAGTACACATTGATGGTCTAAGACACGAAATGAGCGGTTTGTGTGAGAAAACGAACAGTATTTATATCCTTTTTACCTCGTGTAACCACAGCCATTTGACGGGCACTTCGTCTGCGCATGCGCCAGAAGTGATCATTTTTTGCGTCTACGTCACTCACACAGAGATTTCGGTTTTACCTTTCACTGTGAAGATCTAAACATATTTAGATATATATCGAACTCATCTTCCATTGTGATTTCCTGTATATGTAAATATGTTTAGTGAAAGGTAAAACTAAACCTACAACGTTACTTAAAGTCAATGGAATACTCAAATGGGACCATCAAAATAAACTGTTACCCAACTCTCTAAGTAGGAAGTAACTCTCTTTTAGGAAGTAATGTATTTGATGACAGTGTAAATGTATTTGGTCTTGTCAGACTTGATCTTCTATGCATGCTGCTGGAAAGCAAGTATGGATTTGCAACTGCCTATAGAAACACAGACATGCTACTGTGAGCATGTAAGATATGCTGCAACTGCTAAGATATCTAGGCAGGTGGAGCTGGGGAGGTGGAGAGGTTCAGAGGAACTCTGACAGCGATGCAGGACTAGCCTTGAGTGAACACTGAACCAGACTATTTAAATATTGAGCAAGCAATCTCACTGGCTGCAGGATCAGCAGAGGCCAATCAAATGACGTGATTATTAGCAGATTGCAGGAAAACGATCTATTAGCCTGCACTGATCAGATACTGTAAGTCTTGTATTTTCAATGTGTAATATCTTCAAAAATTCAGTAATAACTACAGAAATCCCAATCTCACCCAAATCAGTGGACAAATCCTTCAATATTTTTGCCATATCATTTTCATTTATACAGTAGTTACTTTTAGTCGATTTTACTCTGGAAAAACACAGGTGGACCTCAAACATAATTGACCTATGGCTAAGCCACGCCCTCAAAACCGATGAGCCAATCACTAGGGCTGGGTAATAAATATCGATTTCTCGAAATTAAACGATTAATCGATTAGTCATCCTGTTTCATTTGAATGAATGGGACATTGTATAGCGGCTGCGCGCATCCAAAAAAATCGCAATAATCTTTGTCCTTTGTTACTATTGATATGAAACAAAGTCTCAATTTTCAAATTACGTCCATTTTCTTTAGAAATTAAAAAAAAAAAATAACGTTTTGCCGTTTTGGCGCTGATCTCTCTTCCGGGTTAATAATACCAGTTACAGCGCCAAATAAACATGAATGAGCATCTGAAAGTGTGTTAAAAGATCAAGTACAACTTATCGAAATCCGTATCATGTCACATTGATTCGCTCAATCTGCGTTTCAACCGTGGAAAGACGTCAGTTAAACAGCTTGTAATCAATGTCATCGTCATATTTACCTCAGAAAACCCACATAAACTTGTTAGTCCACACTCGTTAGTGTTCTTCAATATTTAATGCATATTTGAATAAATCTGGCAAGTTTTTATGACAGCCACCATTTAAATGCAGTGTTGGGGAAGCTACTCTGAAACTGTAGTTTGACAAGCTACAAGCTACTAGTAAGTTAAAGTAGTTAAACTACAGTCAAGCTACTCTTTTAGAAAAGTAGTTAGCTACACTACAAGTTACTATCAAAAAGTAGCTAGCTACATTGAAACTACTTTTGCTTTTCTGAACAACGTATATTATTAATAACTTAATAAGTGAGGAAGGACAGAAGGGGACAACAATACTTTTTGAAATCATAATTTTATTGCATTGTTTTAAACACTAAATGTTTGTAAAACATTTAGTGTTTAAAACAATGCAATAAAATTATGATCTCAAAAAGTATTGTTTTATTACACACAACACCCAAATATCTCAGAATGTTTGTCAAAAGTGCAAAATTGCAACAAATAGCCAACAACATTGCAAGAACAAAATATACTTCCAACGTAAATTGCATAGAACATTTTCTCATAAAACTTGGACAAATAATGCCATGGGTAATTAACTTTAGTTGTTTCTCCATCCTCCAAATCTGCCGTCACGTCACGTCTTGCTCCATCATCATGTGTGTGTCAACACACTTCTGTACGTCAGTGAACTGTTAGCCGCAAGATGCGTGATTAAACAACAGGTGGCGGTAATGGCAAAAGAAATATGAGTTTGCAATCTAACAAGAAGAATATAGCATCTTGCTGATTCGCGCAGGCTCGACAAACACAATGTAGCTCTTGCTTGAGCTACACCGCTACTTGCTGCTAAAAGTAGTTAGCTACTGGAAAAGCTACACTGTTTAAAAAGCAACTGAGCTACAGCCAAGCTACTGAAAAATGTAGTTAAGTTAGTAGCTTCGCTACTTGTAGTTAACTACTCCCCAACACTGTTTAAATGTTTATATTTCATATAATCTTCTTATTATAAAAATAAATAAAAGTGTAATTTAAGTGTTTGTAGCTACAAAACTTTCAAATCATTATTACCTTCATATTAGGTTATGAAGCCTAGTAGGCTACAACTAGACTTTATATATAGACCATAGTTTACAGCATTTAAGAGATTTGATTCCCTTGAGAAAAATTGCCATTTATTGTAACTGATATCCAAAATAATCGATATTGAATCGAATCGAATCGTAATCGAAATCGAATTGAATTGCAAGCTTGAGAATCAAAATCGAATCGAATTGTGAAATTTGTCTCAATACCCAGCCCTACCAATCACAGTGCGCAGCTAACCCAATCCACTCAGACATTCTCTGCTTCCACGTCCATTGGAATGCATTGCAGTTAGTCAGTTTTCATTTGACTTTTTCTTGTCATTTTGAGTTTAAAATGGTCAAACGGTGTGCATGGGGTATGTTACGTTAGATTTGCGGGGTGTGTGCACTGAATAAAGACACAGAGAGCTGGCGTATGCTTAGCATGAACATTTACTAGGAACTGATGTGTCACCCTCAAAACAGTCCGTGTCACTCTGAACCTTTAGTTCCCTTTTACAGAACAGGGAACAACTTCGACATTAGGTTTTTGAGAGGCTGGGCGATGATGTGTATTTTTTTTTTTACCCTTTCCCAAGCCACATCTCAACCGAGATAATTATCTGCTCTAGATTAAGTTATGCGATTTAGTTATAGTGCGACCACAACACCAACTAAACGTGGATAAATTAAACAAGGATGTCTACATCTGTTCTAAGTTAAGTCAACAACGTATTTGAACGTTATCTTTAAAATCTCTAACGTAATGGGCTATATGCACAGCTTCACTACTTCCTGAACTTCAGCCAGCTCCTTGTTTCCTGTCTAGGGTTGGGTATCGTTTGAATTTGAACGATTCTGATTCCTATTCCGATTCCTTGTTTCGATTCCGGTTCCTAACGATTCTCGATTTCGATTCTTTTAAGAGGCAGGGTCAAAAAAGTTTAGCTAACCTTGCTAACCAACGGTCTTTCTGAAGGAAATACTCCTTCTGTCACAAATACTTGTCACAAATTTTGCATTTTGCAGAGATTTCGTTAATTTTTAGAAAAGTGAAGCCACACTTTGGACCGCCGACGTAAGCTACTCATGTTCGACTCGCCATGTCAACACTTCCGGTAGACGCTTCTTCGTTGGTGTTGTCCAGCGGTTTCTTCTTCCGCTCGGCGGACTGTGAATATCGAAACTAGGAATTGAAATTTTAACTTTTGAACGATTCCGGGAAAAACGAAAAGTTAGTCCCGGTTCCAATCGATACTCGATTCTCGAAACCCAACCCTATTCCTGTCTGCCATTATTGGCCAAATTGATTAATTCAGGTGTGCTTGTCCTCAGTAGTCAAGGCAACAATAATCAGACACACCTGAATTAATCAAGTTTGGCCAATAATGGCAGGCAGGAAACAAGGAGCTGGCTGAAGTTCAGGAAGTAGTGCAGCTGGGCATATAGCCTATTAGGTTAACGTTAGACTAAGATTAGAAAACGTTAACGTTAGCTTCTAGCTGTGTTGTACATCATGTCACTTAGCTTCATTAACATATCTGTAAATAACCGAGATAACAAATGTTAAAAATGTTGTGCTGAATGATTCATGTAAATACTGTAGCACCAAACGGTGATGGGTTTATCACGTTTACACTGTGACCTGTACATTTTTGCTTGGAGCTGAAGCTTTTCATCGACCTTGTCAACAATAAAATTATTAATATAACCCTCCAGTGCATAGTTAAGGCCCATTAGGTGACTGAGATGATATATAATCTTTTTGTCTCCAAAAATCACCAATTGCCTCCTTTGAAATATCTCCTACTGTGACAGCTGCCATAGCGCCTGTCTCGAATGTTGACTTTGTGTCCGAGTGAGTGGAGGGGGCGTGGCTTAGCCATAGCCCAATTTCAGATTCAATACACAATTAGATTTAGCTTCAAAACTTTATATCCATTGCAAAATAATTGCTTGGAATTTTTCATTTTGAGCCCATATCAGTAATAACACAATTTAAAATGAATCCTTTTCTAATAGTGCTCAAGATTCACCACACACTTGTAATGCACACAAAGTAATATATAATGACTCTGTTCCCAAACTTACATAAATACAATCAGCATTTAAAGGGGAAATGAAGCAGTGAATCAAGTTTACATGATTTACAAGATGGATTTCCAATATAATCAACAATTATATAAGAAACATTACAAATGTAAACATTTAGAAGAAAAAAAGAAAAAACTTCGTATCTTTCGCCGCCAGGGCGCCGCCATTGTGCAGGTGACGTCACAGGGTTGGTTGGCTCAAGTTTAACAGGCTCTGGGCATTGAAAATCGCGACATCAAACTGTGTTTATACCAGTGTTTTAACCGCGAACGACTAATGTTAGGTACAGATATTAGACAAAAAGACGACGTCTCATGTTATATGTTGACAAACTGCACATAGAAACATTGTTCGCGATGTCTGCCGTCAGATATTCCCGTCTCGTCAACACCATGTAAGTTACGTTGCTGTGTAGAACAGTCAGTGGTGGTTTGGGGCGAAGAGCGGGTTTGCAACGCTAACTTACCAGGTGTCAGTGTGGCTGTTGTCCTGCGATGCCCTCCGTGGCAGAGTCCATCTGTTGTCAAGAGGTTGATCTTGAGCATGTGTTGCGTGGTCAATTCTGCATCACCGGCGCGCACGTTTACCATGCTGTGCCGGGAGTTAGACGTGTGGAAGCGGCGATTCTTTCCCTGAAGGATGTCAGAGCGGAGACACTTTTTCCTAGTATATGTAGGCTGTAGCTAACGTTACTAGCACTACCAGTGCGAAAATATGGATATTTCATTTCCCCTTTAACAAATACGTGCTAACTTGCATGTTATTGACAAGACGGGAATATCTGACGGCAGACATCGCGAACAATGTTTCTATGTGCAGTTTGTCAACATATAACATGAGACGTCGTCTTTTTGTCTGATATCTGTACCTAACATTAGTCGTTCGCAGTCAAAACACTGGTGTAAACACAGTTTGATGTCGCGATTTTCAATGCCCAGAGCCTGTTAAACTTGAGCACACCAACCCCGTGACGTCACCTGCACAATGGCGGCGCCCTGGCGGCGAAAGATACAAAGTTTTTTTCTTTTTTTCTTCTAAATGTTTACATTTGTAATGTTCCTTATATAATTGTTGATTATATTGGAAATCCATCTTGTAAATCATGTAAACTTGATTCACTGCTTCATTTCCCCTTTAATGCCTGGATTTCTGTTCAGTGTTTTCCAGAAATGAGTGGGTATTGATGGTACAAAGTGGAATTATGTTTGGTAGGACTCGACTTAAGACTGTGGTTATTTATGTAAGTGTGATGTGTGTGTGTGTGTGATTCAGGCAGGATAGAGATATAGAGCCAGAAGACTTCCAACGTTACAGTGAGAATGTGCAGGCGTCGCTACAGGACTGCCCGGTGGAAAGACCCCCTTCTGCTTTGCTCAACAAAGAAAACAGAGAGTCCTCTAGACGAAGTCCAGGACACTCCCGCAAGGTGCAATGCACCAGCACACACTGTTGCATGGATACCATGTAAAATTACACAGTTATGCAACTATATATATTCTTGTCTCAGGTGGGCAGGGATGAGTCCAGCCTACCACTCGGCAATCCTTTGGATGTTCCAGAGACAGAAACTGCTCCCTGTTACCTGTCCTCCCACCCACGAGTGACCCGTCACGCCCATCGCTATGGCGGATCAGCCCACAGCCGACAAGAGTACACGGGTGTTGCCAGTGTTATCAGAGATAAGTGAGTATTGATGGTACAAAGTGGAATTAACTCGACATATTATTACCAAACAATTGTGTTACTGTGGTATTTCCAACTAGCCTGACTACATCAGACTTCGTACTTCCGCTCAATTTCAGTTCGCTTCTGTACTCAGTCTGAGATAGCGACCTATCTCTCAGTTTTCCTTTGGTCTGAAAACAGCCGGCCAGTCAGCGAACAGAGGGCGGACTGAGAGCTGTGACGTAGACGCTAACCACCGAGGTTATCTTAGGTTAGGGAAATCGAAAACGACCACGGATATGGAGACACAGCAGTAGCGGAGCGGCAATCGGGAGAGTCAGGAGTTTTCCCGGTGGGCCGGTAGTGTTACGAGGGCCGGCCCGGTCTGATAAAATGTATTTATTGGAAGTTCGCCATGGCCCAAGCTAAGGGAAGAAAACAATTTTTTTTTTTTACATTTTTTATAACGGAGCATATATTTGCACTAAATGCCTGTCTTTACAGCAAAACGACACCCGTCATAGAACAGCCTCAGTGGCGTAGGTCGTAGGGCGTGAAGTGTTTGAATGCAGCTTTTTGATGCGCTGCTGAACGCGAGTTCGAATCCGCCTTGCCGAACTCTCTCTTCTCCCTTTTCCCAACACAGATATGTAAAGATGTAAAATGTAAAACCTAATTTTATATTTTTTGTTATATTTTGCCAACGAAGTAAAATTTAAACCATATGGCGTTTCGCCATTATAATAACTGACATTAGAATAGCATCCAGTTTGTTCTGCGTGATTACTTTGCTCTCGCAATCATCTGGTGTTTTCTCCTAAATAAAAGCTCAAGGGTTTATTTCTTGCAAGTGAAGAAATTAGGACAAAAGTATTTTAATTTTCCTATATTATAGTGTAATGTAGGTTAAAATATACTTTTGAAATACTCATTTTCATTTACACATTTATAGGCTATAAATGGATTTTACAGTACGTCATAGGAATAATTATAAATCATTATTACATTATTATAATAATTGTTTGGCATTCTAAAACGCCATTGATAATGTAATGCAAACTGAGACTCTCATAACTAAAAAAAATATTTGAGCCCTCTTTATTGTCCTGGTAGCCTACAAATTAATGTTTTTTCTTTGTTCTCTCAGAGAGCATGAGATTGATGCATTATAACCTTAAAATGTCCAAAATTTTCTTGCGGGGGAGCATGCCCCCGAACCCCCCTAGAGGCACAGAGTCCAAGTACTATGGGAAAGAACGACCATTTATGAACTTTACTCCAGCATACTAGTGCAACAAAGTTCCCTTTAAATCAATAAAACTGTAAATGCTATTGGCTAATCGTGCCGGCGACGAGGGCCGGTGGTCTACGAAATTTCCCGGTAGATTTTTTGGTCTCACTCCGCCCCTGAGACACAGGATGCAATTCGCTCTGTTGTGGAGAATATTCCTGGCATTTGCAAACTGAAGCTTGAACAAGAAGAGTGTTTGTTAAACATTTTGAATGGAGGTGATGTCGTGGCCCTACTCCCGACAGGTTTTGGGAAAAGTTGAATTTATCTACTATTACCGATCGTCAGCGAGAAACTGGGGAGGCCAAAGGCCGGCAAGGCGATAGTTGTGATTGTTTCCCCATCCCCCTTGGTTGCACTCATGGAGGATCAGGTTAAGGAGGCAGCAAAACTCGGTCAGCCATGTTCACTCCGGTATTTCGCTCGATGGTTTCGTATTCGCATGTGTTTAAAGTGAAAGTTTGATGTGGCTGAGCTGGCGAATAACACAAGTCATATGTGATTGGCTTACGGTTAACCAATGATTTTATACTTCAGACAAGCTCTCAATGCGAAAATGAAAACACGTTTCAATTATGCCATTCCAGACTCTATCTACGAAGCAAAGCGAAGTAGCAGAGTATATTACCAGGCTAATTTCCAACCCAGGCTCATTGGAAATGAAATGGAAACCTATGGCGACATGTTTCACGATAACCATGATAATAATCATGGTTATCCTTCAATTTTTTAACATATCACGGCACTTCAGAAATTAAATGACGCCATCGGAAAGTGTTTGTTTGTTTGTAAACTTTATTGTCCTTTTACAGGAAATTTGTCTTGGACTCGAAACTACATTAATACACCACATACATGCAGCAAATGGACTCGAGACACAATATACACATAACAAATGCACACACAGAAACTATAGACCTACATTACTGCAAGTGTGCTGCTGTTGATTTAGTGTATTTGAAAACAACATACCATCTACTCTAAACCCCATAACAAAAGCAAACACACAAACACATTTACTGAAGTTTGCTTACAAACTTTGAGCTATTTAGTAATGTTGTGCAGGGTTTGTACTGCTGTACTTGGTGAGCTAGGAAGCAAGTTTATTGTGTAAGAAAAGACTGGGTATTTCACTGCAAAAACCTGCTTCTTATTCACTCGCCACCCACCATCCTGCCAAATCAGTGGATATTGCACAGGAGTGTGCTTACATCTGTTCTGTACTGAATGTACCACATAGTGTACAACAATCTGAGATGTGTTTTTGGCAAAAAAAAAAAAAAAAAAAAAAAAAACAGCACACATTTAATTGTTGTACACTGTTAGACCTTACCAGGTTTTTTTTTACAGTAAAATACTGGCAACACTGTTGCCAGTTATTTACTGTAGAAATGCACTAAAACTCGAGTTAACTAATTTCACTTGCAGAAACCAACTTAAAAGAATCAACTAAATTTATAATGCATTAATAATGTGAGCAAGGTATTATTGTGAACTTATTTAATTAGAAACAACAAAAATTAACTTTTGTAAATGAAGACATTTCCACCAGATTCTGCAACTAACACAGACCGTGCCTTTTAAATAAAGCAACATGCAGCGTATCATCAATGTTTGTAGATCTTCTCCTGGACTGAAGCTCAGACTCTACTCTTCAGCACAACGGTGACCCCAAAAACAAGATTTTACAGTAAACTACTGGCAACAGTGTTGCCAGTATAAACCTGTTCCCTTTCGTAGTCACTTCGAGTTACGTCAGAAGTGACGGAGATTGGGGGTTTCGCATAGAAAGCCAATCCTCTTCGAGTATTTAAACACGAGCCAATGGCATGCAATGCCTTGGGGCTGCGGAATTTTGCATAGCGTACTCCGCCCTACTCCGTGAGTATAAAAGGAGGAAGTGAACGCAACCGCAGTATGTTTTCGCTTCGGAGCCAAGAGAACCTCTTCACTCCTGAAAGCACTGTTCAAGACTCTTCGAGACGAGCGTCCTCTTCAGTGTTGGTGTGACGGCGGTACCCAGCGAGATTCTGCATCGCCTGCGATCTGAGCAGTGGTCTGCCAGACTTTGCGCTTCTCCCTGGTCGCTTCAGCGCTGAAAGAGTGAATTTCCTCCTCTCATTGAAAGAGCTGCACGCGCACGTCTTTTTAAAGACGGTTCGCCCGTGCTCTTCTGGGTGTGATTGTCGTCATCTGATGGTCACGATCGCTGCTTTGTATGCCTGGGCATTTCAGCATGCAGCAGCAGCGTTCGTGGATGACTCATTTTCCTTCTGTGGGAACATGACCATCTCTACACTGAGGTCGAGACTCAATGATCTCACTTGAGTGAGAGTCCCGGTCCCCCCCGCTCGATCGGTTTCCTCCATAGGGGGCCCGTCGACCCGGGGACCTGGTGATTTTACGGTGATGGTGTGGGATAAAGCCCCGACGATTCCTCGGGCCACACCTCCCGCCTCAGTGCGAGAGCCAGCGAGCGCTAGTTCGATTCAGTCGGTTGCTTCTTCGGTGGCACCGGCTGCTTCGGGCAGCGCTCCAGATGATGATGCGATGTCGATCACAGCATCACTAGGCGGGCTTGACTCCTCGGGAAGTGAGGATGCGGCCGCGTTGCCTCCCTCGGGAGCGTCAGCGCCGCCGTGTCTGATCCCGCGATGATGGCCGTGCTATCTCGGGCGTCCGTGAGCATCGGGTGGGGGTGGAACTCCGCCCCATCCCGATCTCTCGCGGCTGAATAATTGGTTTTTGGGTAACGCTGCCGCCTTACGGCCACGGCCAACCCCAATTTCCTTTTTTCCCCGAGTTGCATGCGGAACTGACACGCACTAAAAAATAAATAAATAAATAAAAAAAAAAAAAATAAATAAAAAAGCGTGCTTAGTTCCCCGCCCTTCCTCCCCTTGGCGGCTGTCTGTGGGTACGCTGGGGCTCCCCCGGTCAACCGGCGGTTGCTCTCAGATGCCCCTCCAAAGCCTATGGGTTCTCGTCGTCTATGGCGGCGCGATTCTGTAGAGCGGCGGGACAGGCAGCCTCCGCCCTGCATATGATGAGCACCTACAAAGCTAGCTGCTCAGGAATGTGCACGAGGAGGTGACGGACCAAGCGAGCTGCGAGCCTGTCGCCTACCTTGTCCTTAAACGGGTCACGGAGGCGGTCGCTCGCTCCCTTGGTCAGGTGATGCCCACCGCTGTGGTCCAGGAGCATCATAATGTTCGGCGGTGCGGTCCAGGACTTTGCCCAGCACTTCTCGACCGCCTAGGAGCAGACGAAGGCGGTTTCTCTGCCCCGACGGCCGGCTGCTGCCTCCAACCAGCCGTCGGCTCGGACGCCTCCGCCAGCTCGCCGCCGAGGACGCCCCCCTGCGGCTCCCTTCCCTCCCACGCGGCCCCAGCAGCAGCCTTCAGCCGGTTCGCGTCGCGGAGGAGGCCACAGGTAAGCGTCCCAAGAAAAGAGCCCCCCCTCAGGCCGCGTGCCCCGCTAGACGCCAGGCGAAGCGATGTTCCTGAGGCGGGCCGCTCAGTGATAGTGTCATGGTTTTTCTCAGGAGGCGGTGGCAGGGCCCCTCCTTCCCCGGTGGAGGGCCGGTGGAGAATCTTTTGTTCTAGCTAGCTCCCTGAGCTGGTTGAGGAAAAGCTGACACTGTCATTGAGCACACAGACTGGAATGAGCGCGCACGACGTCCAGTGCGTCGCCCCGTTCATTCCTCTCTGTCTCGGAGGGCGCGGAA